TTTATTGTCTTGCATTCCTCAGCTCCGGCTCCTCCGCCGGGGAAAGCGCCCGGCTCCGATGGAAGAAAAGGCGCTCCCGCCCCTCGGCCCCGAGCCCTCCCTGCGCGTGCACGCTATCCGTGCGCCTTCTCGCTGCTGCTAAGGGAGGGGAAAAAAGCTAGAACACCCTCATTTGAAAAAAAGAAAAAAATCACTTCCAAGTCTGCTTTGTCACCTTCAAAAGCTGACCAAAATGAGGTTGTTACAGCCCTTGCCTGGTGCCTCCTCTATATTCACCCCTTTTTTTTGGCTTTAAAAACCTTGACTGGCTCCAGCAGGGTGGAATTTTTTTTCCCCAGCAGGGTCATTTGTCACCCCTGTGCTGGAGCAGGTGTGTGGGTGCACATGTGTGTGTGCGTATGTGTGCACGCACACTTCATGCTCTTCCTTTTCAAGCAAGTTTTCAACAGCAGCTAAGCAGTTGTGTCTGGCAAAACAAAAATAAGTGAAACAGAAGACAAGGGGGGCTGTCAGCTTGCCGTAGCCTTGCCACAAACTCTATTAATGTGCGAAATAGAGACGAGATCCCCTGTGCTGCCAAGAGGAGGAACAGCCCGCGCTGTGTTCTCCTGCTTGCTTTTTAAGCTCCCAGGTCTGGTGACCCTAAGCTACAAGGACCTGCCTCCAAAAGCACACAGGGACAACCCTACCTGGTGCAGGTGGTCACATCCCATCCTCCCAGCATGAAGCCCACAAAGGCAAGAACCAACCAAGCCTGTCTCAGCACCCACAGCTTTTCTTTTGGGCTGAAAGAGGCCGGATTGACACCAGCTGGGAGCCGCTCGGTGGTGCTGGCACGGCCCAGCTGCGGCCATGCTCGGTGATGGGGCAGCGGGTGGGGGGCCGGGGGGTGGGGGGTTAACCCAGCCACTTCCCGCGGTTCCTTGCAGCCACCTTATCCCAGGATTGCTGGAAATGGCATCCAGCCGTGGGGCACGGGAAGGTACCGCCAGGTCCGAGCCCAGCCGCTGCCAGCCTTGCTCCGAGCCCGGCACTCGCGTGCCATCCTGGTGCAGCTTCCGTCCCTGCTGCCTGCACCCAGGCTTGGTTTGTTGCTGGAGTTACTCTGCTTTTTATCCCCTGCCTTCGCAGAGCCCAACGCTTCTCGGCGTAATTGGCCTCGTGAGGGTTCAGCTGTTCCTGCGGCTTTTGTGCCGCTCCTCTTGCCACCACGTGCCCAAGGGTGCTGCAGGGGCCCCGGAAGTGACTTTTTCTGCTGGACTCCATGTCAGGGTGCCCTCAGATCCCCTGGGTGGAAAAGAGCAGCTCGGCAGAGGGCGGCCGGGCAGGGGAGCTGGTGTGGCCCTTTGCTCCCCCGATAAAACTGGTGAGTGGTGACCAGAGCGTCCAAAGCCACTTGTGTTTCTCAGGGCACAACTGGAAAGAGGGCAACCTCAGCTCTTTGGGTTCGAGCGCTTCACCCTAGAGCCTCATGTCTCCATAAATGAGATGCTGGAAGGAAAGAGGAGCAAGGGGACCCACGGGACCTCTCATCCTGTGCCCAGTGACCACAGTCGTCGAGCTGGGGTGAGTTTCTGGCTCTCCTTCCCTACATATGAGACCACTCAGGCTCCACATGCCACACTTTCCCACCCTGTGTGCTGAGGATAACAGCAAGTTTGGATTGCAAACCCTGCTGGGTCACCTTCTGCTCTACAAATGGCTGCTCCAGGCAAGGAACCAAGTCAACGATCACCACCTTGGTCCAGCACGAGGGTCTCTTGCGGCCACTAGCCCAGGGGAACAGTCACTCTCGCTTCCTCCCAGAGCAGGTCCCTGCAGGGGAAGCCAAGGATGCTCCAGGGTTAGGGGCATCTCCTGGGGCCCAGGAGGTCAGGCATGGCCACCCTTCTGCTCTATGGATGTTGTATAACCAGCGCCAAGCAGTTTGGTGTGTCCCCTTGGGGAATTACCCTGCCCACCGTAGAGGGGGTTAGCACCCACGCTGCTCCCTCTTGCTGCCCAAGGATTTGGATGTACAAACAGGTCTGTGATGGAGAGATACTCTCTACCTACATAAGAGAAGTTCAGATAGAGCCAGTCTGCACTGGAGGGAAACGAGGAGGCAAATGTCTTTTTTTTTTTTAGTTTTCTTTTTTTTTTTTTAATTTGTAAATAGCTTTCCATGAAAAAGGTTAAATTGCACACGTATCTTTGCAGTTCTTCAGCATCAGTATGGAGGAGGCCCCCAAAACAGGAATACGAAACAAAAGGAACAAATGAAAAAGCAGCATCACCAGTACACGTATATACACCTGCACAGACCCCCAAAGCCGCAGCGAGGCGCAGTGGTGCCCGGGAGGCAGCGGTACCTCCCTGCTCAGGAACACAGCCTGCAACCGGGAACGCTCGCTGCAGGGTGGCATCGCGGTGGGCTTCGAGCCCGCCTGACACAGCCACCCCAGCCCCAGCTTTGGAGGCTGCGTGAGCTGCAGATGTTTGTTGACATCGAGTCAGGGGGGCTGGGGAAGCAATGGGCTGGGCGAAATCTCCCCGTTCATCCGCCCCGAATGTAGCACCGGGAGGTCGGTGTTGGAGTGACCCGTGCGGGGACCAGGGCTCAGTGCCGCCAGCCCGTCCCTTGCTTTGCTGGGTGGATCCAGGACTCGTGCTCATGCTCCCGCTGCCAGTGATGGGACCTGTGTGCCGGGGCGGCTCCGGCCACCCCGTGCCAGCTGCGGCTCTCGCCCTCCTTGCCTGAACCCCCTCCCTTGCAAAGCACTGGATTTGCAACCTCGGATGCAAGTTACTACAAGGGGTTTCTTTCAGACTAATTTATTTTATTTTACACTACAGCTAGACTCCAGCTAAGTTATGTTGCTCACATCAAAGGTCCTAAATTCTTTTGTAACCAAAAAAGAAAATCTTTATCATCTTCCATTTTTCGGCAAGTCTAAGACACACCACTGAAGCTACAGCTTTTACCTTGTGCTAGCTAGCAGCTACCTTAACTCTAATAACCTGTAGCAAAGGAGAGGCAAAGAATCCAGTTCTCTAGAGCTTCAAGTCAAGTTTTAGCACAATTTTGCTCGGCTACCGTAACATTTCTATGCTGCCTAGACCTACTTTGCAGATACCCTGCCAAGCTGTCTTTACAAGCAGAGTCAAAGGGCCAGATCTCCAGTCCGTGTAAATCACTGCAGCCCTCGCAGCTACCCCAGCTGATGATCTGCTCCCGGCCAGATGGTTCAAAGGCTGCAGAAATGCTGAAGGCAAGTGGGCCCTTTCTCTCTTGGCTTTCCAGGTGCTCAGCGACACCATAACGTCTTCTGGTGGCTTTGAAGACGCTTCTTGCCCACGTGCCCACTCCAGGGAGGCAGCTGGGTCCTGGGCAGGCTGTTTGGCCCCAGGGAAATCATTTTGCCGATGCCTGCCCAGCTGTGCCCACCTGCGGGGGTGACGGTGGCACTTCCCTCTCGCGGTGCCATGGGAAGGAGCAGGGTGACCGTTGCGAGCTTGCTGGAGGTGCTGAGTGCCGGCTGTTCCTATGGGGCTAGGATATAGCGGAGCGAAATGGGCTGGTCTGTTAGGTTGGCGGTGGGACTTCATCTCCGCTGTCGTTCCCAGAGCCTGTTGCATGCGCGCAGTCTTTGGCCTGAGACTTGTGGACAGAGCCTGGATCCAGATTTTATTCCTCCTTGGTCCCATCCCAGAACATTAAATTTTCCAGACAAAGAGCGACCCCATCGGTGACAGCTGCTGTCGGCCATGCCGTGAGGGACTGCACACAACACACCACGGCTGTTTTCCTTGCTCCTAGCTCACAGCTCCCCCAAAAGTTCATCCTTAAATTGTGGTCCTGTGTCGTCCCGTCAGCTGCTCAGAGCCTGACAGATAAGCAAAAGAAGGGGAGGGCAACAGTTTCAGACCAGAAAAGGGAGAGAGGTTTTGTCAGCTGTTGAAAGACAGAGAGGGTGCAAGGTGGTGCAAGGCTAGACCCTACGGCAACCATGGCAAGGACGTTGGGTACAGAAATAAGAAAGCCACTTCTAGGAAAGTGCCAGTCCCCTCTGCTCCTCTCCTGCTGTGTTTGTTTTCTGGATCCATAATGAAACCTGTTGCTGTCGCTGTAGGAATCCTCCCTTGCATTTTGTCAGAGCAGACATGCCGTACACTTCATTCTTAATTTGCAGAACAATGAACACAAGCCTTTATATGGTAAAAATATAAAACATCCTCCAAACTGCATTTCCCCTGCCTCCCACTGAAAAGAAAATCTAATGCTAAAAATATAGGTTTCTTTGAATATATAATATATAATAGATTATATAAAAACATCTAAAGAGGCAGACTTGCTGATTTGCATCTGAATTTACAGACCTTTTCTTCTTCTCTAGGCACAATTCAGGAGGGAGGCTGAACTCAGAGAATCCAGAAGGGACCTTTATTTGCCTGCTAGCTAATTATCACATGTTATACCTAGGAACTTCCCTGGACAGAAAAAAAAGAAAGAGAGAAAGAGAGAGAGAGAGAGAGAAAGAGAGAGAGAGAGAGAGACAAACAGAGAGAAGAAGGATTGAGGAAATTGCACATAGTCTACAGAGTCCTAAGCCACCAGGAATCTCATTTCTTGGATCTAGTTTAGCAGGTGCTCGCCTTTAACCCAAAAGGAATATATGCCTTGTCCATTTCCATGAAAAAATGGTAATTCACATTTCTTTCTTTAAAAGTAAAAAAATAAGTACTGTTAAATTTCTTCTTTTGAGCAAACTCAATGACCAGAGACTTGTGATGTGTCCTTTAAAGATGTACCAAGTGATTCCTGCGTTACTGGTTTTTCCCCCCGGGTCTTTGTGTGAATAATCATACTATGAAGCTGATAAAAGTCACTGTATATGTCTCCGTCTCTCGAAAATCTTGTCCCTTGTAAGTTCCAGCAGCACGGGGGGAGCATCCTGCTAATAGGTAAAGTCTATGTGGGCTTGATATGGTCCTTCGAATCATGAACGGCCTCTTATAAAAAGGATCCCACACTGCTCCAGTCATTCACATCCACTGGCAAAGAAGTGTCGTTGAGTTCAAACAATTGGTCCACGCTGACGGAGTTTGAGAGGTAATCGTTCCTCCCTTCATCCCAGGGATGCTGAAGGAAAGAAGTGGCCATGAAGGTTTCATCAAAGTCCAGGCTGTTCTGGTTGGATTCGGTCAGGATCTGGTCATGTCCTACAGGGCACCACTCCTGTGGACAGTCGATGTGTCGGCCGTGTACTGTCAAGTCCACGTCTCGAGTTATTGGGCTGATTGGAGGTGTGAGCTCCAGATCCTCAAAAGAGGAGAAATCACCATTCAAGGTGGTGTCAAAGATGGCTTCCCAGTCAAAGTCACCTTTCAGTGATCCCAGCTCGGTTTGTTCTTCCTGGGTGAGCAAGGGAGAGCTGGAAAGCCGAGCTAACTTGGCCGTCCGTTTAGGCAATGGTTGCTTGCGCTTGTGGCCTGCTTTTCCATCTGCTGGATTCCAGTTCTGGTCACCGGTGACTTCTTCAAACTCTTTCAGCAGCTGCTGCGACTCTATGTTGACATTCAGGACGTTATTGCTGGTCCAAGAGGAAGCCACCGAGCTAGTGACGGACCTTGCTTCTTGCTGGGCTCTGTTGGTAAAGGCTGGGTGGATCTGCACTGGGGGCATCCTCCGTTTTTTGAAGGCACCATTCATGAGCCGGTCGGCATATTGGGGGTCTATCTTCCAGAAGCCGCCCTTCCCTGGCTCATCCTTCTCTCGGGGCACCTTGATGAAGCACTTGTTCAAGGATAGGTTGTGCCGGATGGAGTTCTAAACCAACAGAGAAAACAGCAAGGTTGAATGCCTGCTCTCTACCGTGGGACCTACCTGGATGGGCAGATTGGAGAGGCTGGTGGAAAAGCACATCTTCAGCAAGGACTTTTGGTAAAGAGATAGCAGAAACAATCAAGATAGAAGACATCCCAGGCTACGTACCCAGCAGAAACTCCCCTGCCCCAAGTCACCAGTGCAGTTTTCTTGCCTCCCATCTAATCCATCCAATCCAGCCAAGGGGTTCGAGCTAGGACTTGCTCCCCAACAGGAAATTTTTGGGAAAGTCTCCTTGGCTTTAAACTGAGGCCATGGGGCTTTGGATTGCACAGCGCACTGGGAAAAAACAGCCTAACCCGCGCTAAGCACAGAGTTAAGCTGAAGGAGATCATGCCCTGGCTAGTAGATATAGAAGAAGAGTAGGGACTTTACACTAGTGTGGCCACAGCCCCATTACAAATTGCAACACTCAGCAGTACCATGGGGAGACAGCACCATCAGAGCCCTCCTTGGATCCCCCAGTTCATCTGTGCTTATTACTAATGTTGACGGGAAAACACATTGCCAAAAAATAGCCCTCTGTGCCTCCCTGCTATCCCTGCCATCAGGCTGACACTAGAAACTAGATAGGCCAGACTAGATAGGCACACGGGCTCTCCTGCAGGTATCAAACAACCCTGGGCCAGCAGGGCTGCGGTCCCCCAAGGCGGACCTGAACCAAGGTGCTGGAGACCTGGACACCCAGGGGCTCACTTTGGCTGCCTGTCATACTTGTCCCCAGAGGTGTCTCCTGGCCTGGGGAAGCTTGCAATGAAAATACTGCATCTTCATCTGCCACAGCTCAAACTAGCTGGAGGGAGAAAAAAAAAGAGGAGTTTCTGCTCCCGTCGTGCTGTTCTGAAACCCTGAATGTGCCTAGGGTGATGTGAATAATCAGAAAGGAAACTCAGTTATTGGGTAAATAACACAGCGTTGGACTCCACAAAGCCAAGACTGTATTAAGAGATTGGATATGGTGGAGGGTTTTTTTTTTTTAATGTTGCCTGGATATCTTTATGCTTATTCATCCATAATCCGTAGTGCCGAATAGCAAAAACAAGGCTTGAATGCTTAGAGCTGTTGAAAAACACACACACGCACACACATATACACACACACACACACAACAAAACCCTCCTCTCAGCTGAAGCTCCTTGGGTGTGTTGGCTCCTCTCCAAAGCACTCAGCTCCCACAGGAATATATCCCTCTCCCTCGGAGTATGGGTGGCATGACCTTTCGAGTCTGTCTTCACTTACGGGAATTGGGGTAGGGGATGAGAACATAGCCTCGATGGGCGAAAAGAAAAGAAAAGAAAAGAAAAGAAAAGAAAAAGCTTGCAAATGTTCCAGACTACAGCAATTCCAAATTTACAGTTTAATGAAATTTTACAAGGGTCAGAGAATTACAGGCTGAATTCTCTGCTCCCTTTCTCCCCTCCCCATCCCAAATTTCATTCAGCCTGGCTGCACTGCCGTTCGTTATTACCCAGCCAGTTAACATATTTATCATTCCTCCCTGCAACAAATCCAGTGAACCCCCTGCATGTCTGCAGAGACAGATTGAAAACCTTCTTTCTTTTTTAACAAACACATTTAATTAAAAACATGGTGATTATCCAGCCGTGAGTTTGCAGGAGAAAGTCAAAACATGGGCACACAACTCCTCCCTCCGAAACACTCTTGTAGATCCACCAGCACGAAAGAAGGCTGGGTTCATGCTGACTTTCACAGGTGAAAATGTCCAAGGACTCTTGTTTGCGTGAGCCATTGCTACCTGCATGAACAGCCCCTGGGGTTGCTCTTGATGGTGAGCGTGGGGCGGATATTCCCCATTTGCTTCTTGGCTACGCCTCAGGCCCTAACATCTGGGCAACGCCAGTGAGGAGATCCCTGGTCCACAACGAGCTGGGCCACTGGGGAGGTTCAGAGGGGACAAGCAGCACTGAGACCTCCAGGCCCAGCTCACACCCCCCGCAGAAGGAGGATGGTGGACCTCAAGTGGCCCTGTAGAGGGATCAGGATGGTCCCCTTCCCTGTGACGGTCTTCAAGAGCTGGTGGAGACCCATCTGCCCTGGGAGAAGGTGGTCAACGCACAGGCAGGGGACATGCAGCTCTTTCGCCTGACACTGCCAGAACCAGGATCAGCCTCTAAGCTGTGCACTGGGGATGGCAGGCTGGGAATAACCAGGTGGAGGGATGTGCCACCCAAGTCCTTCTTGCCTTGACACATCCCAGAACTCCGCACATGCTAGTGGTCCCATTGCATGACAGAGGAGGGGCACTGAGACAAAACGGCTGGGAAAAACCACCGTGCTTCACACTTTCCCCCAAGGCAATGAACCCAGGGCTGCCGTCCCCGCTCCCTAGGGACGACGTATTAACTGTGAGAAAGCAGCGCTGTTTGGTCTGCCTTCGGCTTCCTGCCGAGGTCTGACGAGCTCATCACGGTGATGGACCCCCTTTCATCTGTCTTCCCTGAGGGACAGGCAGCCCTGTCAGAAAAGAGGGGTGACCTCTCCTCTTGCTCTGTTTGGAAAGCAGCAGCATTTTTGCTCTAAACATCCCCGGCAAGGGATCTTCCCAACAAGGGACACCTCCGTTTCGCTCTCCTGCATACCCTCTCCTACACCTGTTTCTCAGCACCCACAGAAGACTTGACTTGTTGATATTAGGTGTTTGCTAAGCCACCGAGGGGCCTGGGGCAGCTCGGAAGGCTCTGCTGTAAGCAGAGGCTCTGTGAAAGGTGGAGAGGGGGGACACGGAGATGTCTTCCCATGGGGTGCCAGGTCCCATTGCTATGAGGAGCTGCAGGCATGCGCAGCCGAGTGGCTCCCTTCCCTCTCCTAAAATGGCCCTGACTCTCCCCGTAATGGCTGGCTCCTGGCTCCTCTCCTCCACAGCCCTTGCAGCTTTGTCCTTTCTTAACGGCCAGAGCCCCCTTACGGCTCCCTCTTGGCACCCTTTCCCCAGCCATTTCTCTTCTTCTTGCCTTTCTCCTCCTTCCCTCTTCTCCGTGCCGAATTCTCCCTTCTCTGACACCAGCCCAGGTGAAAAAACAGAAAATCGGGGCCTCTCACCGGCCCTGGGGACATGTTAGATAATTAACTTCGCAAGGGCAAACTCCTGTTTACACTGGGAGCATCCCTACCTCTGGCAGTTTCTGCCTGCTCCTCAATGCTGGCACCAGGCTAAATGCCTCAGTGGGAAAAGACCTGCTACTGCTGCCATGGGAAGGTCTTCTGCTCAAGGTGCCTGGACCACAGAGCGAGTCTCACCTCTGCAGACCCATCTGAAACTAGCAATCAGGTCCCCATTGCCCGAACAGGGACAGGGCACACTGGCCACTCCGCAGACCGTGGCCTCCTCCTCGTTCCCCACTGGCGCAGTTTGGAGTACCAGCAGCTCCAGCCTTCGGTGCTCACCCTTGCGTTGCACGGTGGAGGCTGCAGAAAGTCCTCCCCCAGCCCCACCAGCAGGTCCAACTCCAAGGAGAAGGGAAGGAGGAAAGAGAAGGTTTCCTGGCCACCTACCTGCCAGGTGGGGTCAGCATGCCGGAAGTAGCAGAAGTTATCAGTAATCCATTTGTAGATGGCGGAGAGGGTGATTTTAGTCTTCTTGCTGGCTTCCATCGCCATGCAGATGAGCGTGGCGTACGAGTAAGGTGGCTTCACGTGCGGGTTGGTCTTGTAGTCTATGTCTTCCATGGGCTGAGCGTGCATGCCTACGCCGAGGTGCGCAGTCCTGGACGTCGAGGAGGAGATGGGCTTGCCAGGGGTGTGGGGCATGCCCATGCACGCAGGGTCGGCGGCCAGCGGGGAGCATGGCGCCACAGAGCCGGGGATCTTGTGGTAGTCATGAGGGTCAGTGCCGCTGGGGGACGAGGATGACTTGCCCACGTTGGCATTGATGATGGAGAACTCCTGGAGCCACTGGAGGCTGGTGAGGCTGTCGTCCAGGTTGCTCGAGTCCCCCATGCTGCTTTCCTGCCCTCTCTCTTCTTCTGACCGGAGGTTCAACCAGCCGTCAGCCATGCCCAGGGAGATCAGAGCGGGCAGGTCCAGCATCCACGAGGTGCGCAGGGGCAGGGAGGCCACGGGGCAGATCCTGCAATAACGACAGGGAGCGACTCAAGATCCCCGGCAGGCAGCCAGCTCCCTGGTGCCCGAATAGCTCTGTGGCCCAACAATCCCTAAGCCGCTCAGCGAAACCCATCCCTGGGGCCGCTCTGTGGCGCGCTGTGATGCCTCCTCCTCCTCCTCCCTGCGGTGCTTCAGCTCGCAGCAGCTCTGGTGGAAACTCCCTCCAACCCGCGCCCGGGGCACCCGCGCTGCCTGGCTGGGACACGAAAGCCAAAATCGCACCATACAGCCCAGCAAAGCGCAGGTGCCCTTCCCGAAGGATCTGCACACCGCTGGTGACCGGCCAAAACCGCAACACCTGACGCGTCAAGGAAACATCTCCAAGTTACCCCCCGCTCCGCTAACTTCCGTGAGCTTTGCTTTATTTCTGTTTTTCTTCCTGCTGGGGCACTGGCGTCTCCGAAAGCAACGGGGAAGAGGGCGAGGCACCCTCGCTCGGCACCGATGAGGGGGATCGGGCACACCGCGTGCGTTTTCGCGGCCCGGAAAGCCCGACTCGCCTGCTGTGCCCTCTCGAGTAAGGCGAGATTTAACAGCTGGGGCAAAGCGCTGGGGTCCGTGGAAAACCGGCCCGCTGGCCGAGCGCCGGCCGGCCACCTCCGCCCGCCCGGACTTCCCTGCCCGCCGCCACGCCACCGCCAGAGATCC